AGGAAACCCAAGAAATCACGGTACACTCTGAGTATAGGATTGTTCATATTTATTTATTGTGGCAAAACAATTCATAGGTTTCCTTTAAAAGACTTTTTACCATGTTTAGGAACAAATGGACTCTATGTGAAGAAAGGGAAAACTGTATCTTGTTTTGGAAAGAACATTGGATAAGGGCACATGCAAAGTTCAAACATCTTTTAAATAGTTTTCTTTCAAAATGTATCGTTAGTTTTGATCTGCTTCTCTAGTTTGTAAACAACTATGTAATCAATGAAAATATATTTAGGCTACCTTTAAAAAGAGATGTCTCCAGTATTAATTGGTAGTAATAGTAAAATCATATGCAAGACAAAAATATTAGGATCTAGCATGCTTGGCCTTTTACAAGTTCTATTCCAAAATTATATTACATATATTAATTTCACTTTTGTAAATGTTGCATAATCTCAAATCTTTGAGTAGTCAGACAGTGATAAAAAATGATTAAGAAACCAGACGACCTTTCTGTATTGTGAATGCTACTCATTTCAAACATTACTTGCTAGTAAAGTGCTGTTACAAGCAAAATTAAATTGTTAGTGTCTATCGAAAGCAGATGACATTTTAGTAATATTCAAATTGTACATGTTTTGGCAAATAGTTAACAGCGTAGACATGTTTGTTTAACCACCCAAAACTAATTCAGTATAAATAATATTGGTTTCCAATAATCCTATGCTAAAAGGCACATACTAATGTTCCAGCAGTTCGTTCAAGTGAGCATTTGCATGTAGAGGTTTAATTGTGCTTTTAAATAGTTACTGATTCAGTATGACCTTGAAAGTGACATTTGTGCATGTCTAAAATACCTTCTCACAAATGAATCTCCCACTCTGAAGGTGTAATTTCATTAAGATTATATATATCTATATAACTATGCCTGTCGATCTCTACAGATCTACATAGATATACACATATACATATATTCATACATACACACACAAAAGGGTCTTCTGGAACAGCAGCAGAAAGTGCAGTCTCTACTCTTTTGAATTGTCTTCATAATAGAAAGTTCTCAGCAGTTTTCAGACATGAATTGTCTTGGGATTTGTGAGATCCAAGGGATTATTTGTGATACTGCATGTGTCCTGCATTACTCTCTTTCCTCACAGGCTGCTTCAAGCTTACTTCGCTTCCAGACGAGATGATTGGCAAATTATTTTCCATGTGATACTGAATAAGATGACCCACACTATCAAATATATGGTCCTTGGTTCTCACCTAAGGAAAGTAAAAGAATATATTTATGGTTAGATTGTGCTTATAACTGGTTGGACATGAGCCTAGCACATTAAAGTCAAAAGGCATTAAAAGCCACTGAACTCACTGGAGCAGGATCATTAGGCTGTAGACAACAATTCAGACTTATCCTTTGACCTACCATTAGCTGACATGAAAAACAGAAGGCCGAGTTAAAAAATGCTGAATGTAGAACTGGGCTGATCCTGCTAAAGGGAATGAAATAAGCTCCTCCCCACCCCCAAAAGAGAGATATTTTTCCCTAAATGCCACTGAGGATTAGTTTTCTGATTTACTCTCTCCTCTCAGAAATGTCACTCAAGAGTGCTCTTCTAGCCCTCAGCAGAAGCCAGTAGAATTGAAGTGACCAGCTCTACCTTTTCTGTATCCAGAAATGTGTTACTGATCAAATTCATTACTTAATGTTAGGGTTATTTTTCTAGCAATATAACAACAACTCAAAGGATGTTATTAAGTGTACACACTAATCATCAGCACCTGGACTAACAACATTTAAGTACCTCACTTCTATTTTCATGGTACTTTGGTGCTTGTAAGTTCTTGAATTTAACTTTCAAACCTACTGAAATGACTGGCTAAATTTAAATTAACCTGGATGAAATCCAATCAATTCCACTTCCTGGAATGCACCCATGCATTCATTTTGACTGAAATATCTGAGCAGCCCTGACATTTCAGCATATGAGATGTTCATACCTTGCCCTCAGGGTCCACCAAAAGCAGATGCTTTGCTTGCCCTCCCTGAAGTCCACTGAGGACATACTGACCAGGTGACGTTGTGCTCTCTCGCACCAGAAAATCCCCATCATTGACTAAGAGGCTCTCTGCTGCTTTCCTGTTTAATTTGCCATGGTAACAGTCTTCATTCTTTAGCTGCTGCTTTATTTGTGGCAGAACACAGAGACCAGCTGTGTTGCTTGTGGCACTCTGCTGAACAGCTTCCGGTGACTCTAAAATTAAATGAAAGGGAATGTATTGGACACTTCACCTAGAACTTCAGCCTAAAAGGATGCAAGACAGTATTTTTTATTAGCTTTTAAAATATTCAGCAGTCTTGAGGCTGTGCTCAAACGAACCTTACAGACTGTAACATTATGCACATATGAATGCTCACAAGCCTCCAGTGCATTAGGTAAAATTATCACACCATCTCCTCTCATACCTTAGATGGGAAAGCTTTGGGTCGCTAGGCAACAGGGATTGGAAACAAGAATTTGTCTGATGCTCTACTGTTTTGGGTTTGTATTTCTTTGGTTGTATTAAAAAGTCAAATCTTCCCTGTAAAAACAAGATTTTTGATGGGGTTTAGCCACTGTTTGGTTTGTTGGATGTATTTTTGTTTGCGTTTTTTTGGGGGGGAGGGTTTGGTTGTTTTTTTGGGGTTTTTTTTTTGTTTTTTTAAAAATAGATCCAGTTTTTCCTTCTTCCTTAATAAGCTCTGAAGAGATTGTCATGGATCAGTGGGAGAGTCATTTTGAGTGGCTCCAGCTATGTGCAGAAATGTAAGACAACATGGCCAATGTAGCCAGAAGGGAAGGATTACAGTATGATGCATCTGCTGTGAAAAAACGAACAATTACTGAATGTACTAACAAAACTGGATGGTTTGGGATATAGCCAGTCAGACTGCAAATGATTCACAGGCAGGATTTTTCTAAGGAAAATAAGAGGATACCACTTCTTCAATGGAATTGTGCAACCTAAGGCTTCTCAGGATATAGCCAGTTCCTTTTAGAGCATAATACAGCCCCGGGCTGGAAATATCTCAATGGTTACAGATTTCCTATACTGCAGTTCTATCCAGTCCTTTGCCCACTTTCTTATGTGGAGCCACATCTGACAGAGAAAACAGTCAATGGGAAACCATAAAAGACAAAGCTAATAAATGAAGTATTTTCAATAATGAGGACAATCAGTACCAACTGTATAGTCATTTAATGGATATCCACCACTTTGACACTGTAAATCAAGACTTAATTTGATATACGTTTAATGATTACTGCTGATCAAACATTTTGATTTAGAAATTATTGGAAGAGATTCAAAGGTCACTTCTGCAAGAACTGAGAAAACATGGTCATAATGATCCCACTTTGACTTTGTGTGCTACTGCCTGTGAAGCAAAGGCATCTGAGGACACTTCCACCTTAAAGTGGTTAAGATCTTCAGTGTATAGGAGAACCCTCTTCCCTGAGGTATAGTGCAGTCACAAGCTTTCATATCACCCTAAAGACTTGCTTATTATTATGCGTGTAACACTATTTATTATCATGAGTCAACTACAGAAGACACAGATAACAAGACCCCCTCTTTTCAAAGCTTAGAAAAGATATGGTATTGCAATGGGACCTACTGGCCTGACGCAGTGGGCTCCCATGGGTCTGTATTGTTGCTGTACCGCGGGCTGTACAGACTGCAGACTGCAGGGTCTGAGTGTTGATGTAACACGGATCATCAAAAAGATCTGTTTTGTAGGCAGGCTTCAATAATGTTGCCTCTTTTTTTGTCTTCTGTGATCTTTCAACACAGTTACCTGCAATTAGTATATAGTATGCACAGATTTCCCTTTTTCTTTTTTTTATATCGAGTTAAAATAACTGTAAAAGCTGAAATAGGAACATCGTTGTTCTTATACATCCACTAAAGTCATTCAAAAGGAAAAGAAAAATTGGCAGATGAACTAGTTTTTCCATATGGCTGGAAGGCACAAGGTACACTATCCAAAATGAGCTAGAATGAAGTTTTCAGAAACATTACACACTGATTCAATTCTGCTTCAATCAATGTCAGCAGTAAACCCCCCGCTGACTGAAAAGAAATTAATACATATGACTTCACAGAGACACAAGCTATGTATGTTGTTTGCTGCAAAACCCTTTCCTTCCCCTCTGCACCACAAAAAAAGCTTCTGGGAAGCTGAACAATTCTCTCTCTTGTTATTCTGGTGGAGCAGGGAAGATGGAGGAGGTTGGCACTTTGTGGCTCTGTCTAGAGAGCCAAAGCCACATCTGTCAGGTTAGGATCCAAGCCCAGGAACAGGCTAACAGAATATCCCCTGCAGGGTATGAAAATAATAGCACTTCAGCTAGCCAAATAGCACACATAGTTTTGCTCTAGCAAATGTTTTATTCATAGATCTATTCATTCATTCTTTTATTTATTCACCCTCTCTTTGTAGAATCCATTTGATTCTCCTTTCCTTAAATCAGAAATAACACAAGAAACTGAACTATCCCCTGCAGAGAGTGTAATGGATCACTTTAAGAGCAGTGCAGGTGGGAATTCAAAAAGGACCTCATTATTCAGTGAAAGAGATGAGCTGAGGAAATGTGCTCAGGGCATCAGCTGTAGGAAAGGAAGTCCAGAAAAAGATGCAGGCTGATGATCTCCTGGAGTCCCAGAGAGTAGATATTGCTAAAGGCAAATTGATCTCAGGCACAAAGCTGCCCAAGGCAGGGTAAGGGCCCAGTCACACTGAGAAGCCAGTGACTCTGGAACCAAGGGCATGGGCTCCCTTGGAACAACCACCCAATGCTGATAATTTGGGTCTCATTGAGCATTTGTAGGGGGAAGGGGTATTTTCAGAGACTAATAAGGGATGAAGCATCTTTCTTTTTCAAATGGTATGAAAGGGAATAAAACACCAAAGAGGATGAAAGAATAAAAAACAAAGAGCTACTGTACAGTATCATGACAAGTAAACTGAGTAAGTCTGCCAGCAGACATGAAGATAGATTAGTGGCCTTTAGAAAAGCTGTAAGGCTTTTTTGTCTGCCCTTCATCTAAGGAACTAGAAAAGGCCCACTAAGTAGAACACTTTTCTCCATTGTATCAAAAGCCCAGGGGTAACTTTTGCAGGCAGTCTGCCTTGGTTAATTCTGCATATGCATGAGAATGAAAAGAGAGTACATACCCACAGTTTTGTTTTCTTCTGGACAATTTTCATATATATTGATGAATGTTGGGCTGCCTGTCTGTAGAAATAGTGTAAAAACAGTCATATAAAGTAATCCCTTAGAAATCTCAGGTAACTTAAAACATCCATGCACCTGTTAATGGGAATACAGGTAACTAAATGTATCTTCACCAAAAACTTCCTATCTCCTCAAATAATGTTTCATGCTGATACTCTTCTTTCTATAGGGCATCATGTCTGGACGTATTCCAACCTCACAAAGACTGTTAACTGCCCAATTTTATATCTGAGATTTAGTATATACAGTATCACTTCTAGGTAATACAGTTCAGATTTTCTTATAAATGTTTCTTGCAATAAAACCAAGGAGAAATAAGTACAAGCATCATGATTTGAAAGTGAAACGGTCACCAGGTTGTCTGTGCAGCACTAAAAGGTCATCAGAACTCAGAAGAAAAACAAAAAAGTAACACCCTGTGGGAAAAAAAAAAAAAAAAAAAAAGACATTTGCAGGGTAACCCCTTGCAACAACTCTGGCAAGCATCACGTGCAAACTCAGGGTATCAGCAAACATCTTTTTAGAGAACTACTGGGGAGTTGGAGACCACCAGGCTCGCAGCCAAGATGCGGTACATGGTTGAGGTTAACAAGGCAGTAAGTGGATGGAGCAGTAGCACAGGAACACATGGGAACCTGGGAGCAGTTGTTGCCCAACACAGATAGCATTTAGCAGCAGGAAATTTTTAGAAAGCATCAACTAGATCCAAGTGCACCCCCTCTGAGCAAAGCAGTGGTGCCTCCTTCCCTGCGTGGGGAAATGCCGGTGTTTCCAGGAACTCACACAGCAGGCTTTGAAGTCTGTGCAGTCAGTGTGAACTCAGCTGGCTTTACTCCCTGATTTCTTGGGTTTTATTCCCCACTGTTCAGTTAAGAGCCACAGATATATGCATCTTTTGCTGCTGTGGCTGATTTAACAGAGCCTCTTGAAATACTTCAAGGGTAATTAATGTTGTATATACATTTCAATCAGTTAATGTTGTATGTGTAGGTTGTAGAGCATAATGGACAGGATGAAATATTTATCAGATCTCAGAATGAGGAGCCAGGAGGTCCCAGATATTGCAGATGTTCTCTCAGACAAGCCATTTTAATCTGTATCTATTTTCTTCTCACAGCTAACAAGAGAACAAGGGAATATTACTTGGTCTCCTAAAAGTACTCTAAGGACAAACGAGTTAATATTCAGAAAGTGCTTTGGGATTCAATTAGGTACTAAGCATCATTAAATCTAGCCTAAAAAACCTTTTCCCAGGATAATCAGGACCTGGTTCTGATGTTAATGCCATGCTTTACACCACAGTAACACTTTATTACTCATTCCCATAAGAGGCAGTGAACAGTTATCCCAGAAGATGATGTACTTACCAAGCAATACTGCTTTTTGCACTGTGTAAGACAGTTAGCCCTTTGGTCTGTTTGCACTTTCATTCGCATGTCTAATACTCCACCAGTGGGAGTTCCCTGGAATTTCGTTGTAATATTCATGATCCTCCCTCTCCTGCGAATTCCCAGCTGATCCATTAGCATTTGCTGTGTCGCTGAAAAAATTGGGGGGGGAGCGGAGGGGGAGGGAAAGAAAGGTGACTGATGTAATCAACTGCTTTCTAGTGCAGGCAAATGTCCTCAGTGTTTGCACATCGCACAATACACAGATTAGCCATATGGAGGCTGTGAAGGGCTTTGGGCCTGAACTTTCAGAGCTTTATTTTTCCAGTTACTTCTTCCTGAATTAAAAATGGAATCATAGAATCAACTAGGTTGGAAAAGACCTTTAAGATCATCAAGTCCAGCCTTTACCCCAGGACTGCCAAGTCCACCTGTAAACCATGTAACTAAGGGCCTCATCTACATGGTTTTTGAACGCTTCCAGGGATGGTGATTCTACCACTGCCCCGGGCAGCCTGTTCCAATACTTGATCACACTTTTGGTAAATAAAGTTTTCTTAATATCCAATCTAAACTTCCCCTGGTGCAGCTTGAGGCCATTTCCTCTTATTCTATCACTTGTTACTTGGGAGAAGAGGCCAGCCACCTGCTCTTTCCATCTTCCTTTCAGGCAGTTATAGAGAGCGATACGGTCCCCCCTGAGCCTTCTCTTCTCCACACTGAACATGCCCAGTTCCCTCAGCCATTCCTCATCAGATTTGTGCTCCAAACCCTTCACCAGCTTCATCGCCCTTCTCTGGACCCACTCCAGCACAGTCACTGGAGTTCGGGGTGCAGGGAGGTACACTCATTTTCCTAGCAACAGACAGCCCAAATCCATTTTCTTTGACTTGAAAATATAAAAGCCACCTACTGAAACTTTAAGAGAAGAGTGCCAGTGCATTGTTCATTAAGGTGTCCAAAATGTAGACCATAAAACTAATTCCTCTGCCTTCTTGTCTCAATTCTATAAATCCAGAGAACGCGGGGAAAGGGGGAGGCAACACTTACAAAGAGAGAATGAAAACCTCATGGCATTTAGCTAGAAAAGCCTGCAACTGTTTAGAAAATCAAATATTGCTACCAGAAAAAAAAAAAGTAGTTTTCCTGAATGTACCCTGATTTTAATAACCATAATCAATATAACTGTTCTGTTTCAGCTGGAAGAAAACATGGAGAGCACCCAGTGTTTTTCTTGAGCTAAACCAGAACGATGATAGTTTAAATGTACAGCTGATACTCTGCAAAACAACTAGGTGCTTCCTGTACTGTCTCCGGTCCCGAAATAAAAAACTCATCTCAAATCTTAATTCAGAATATAATTGGATAAAAGGCCTCAAAAGCAGGAAAGAGATAAAGTTCAAGTAGTTGATTATGTGATATGCAGTGCAAGTATTTGATTATGTGATTCATAGTAGTTTGGAAGGGAGTGACTCATTCACACAGCAATACTCAACTTCTCTGCCTGAGGACCGTTCTCTGAGGCTAGCTGCAGGTTAGGCTGAAGGAGGGAATCTAATTAGCCTGTTCCATTTCTCCTCACTCTGATTTACTTGTGGCATAACCTAGCACAGTTTCATCGGAAAGGCTTTTCCTCTGGTTATTGTCCCCAGGGAAAACAGACCAGTATTAGCAGTGGAATGGCAAGAACCACTCTGTAGAATGAAATAAATATAAACTGGAGCTGGGGCTGCTGTTATGCAATAAAACCAGTTCTGCTGTCTTGCATTAGACACTGTACCAGGGACACCGCCTGCACAGTGACTCCCAGTGCTCAGGATGCGGTTAAGCAGCATTATGGCTTTACCTACTTGTGGGAGGTGGCAAGCAATCAAATTTGGTGTTACAATAAAGACAAGACAGAGAAAAATAGGCATAGCTAACCTATGAGGAGAGCTATAAATTAAAGCAAGAATTGCATCCCCAGTGCAACAGAAAAAGGGTAAGTGAAATGGAAAATTGTGCTCCTGAAATTAATCTCGCCACTACATTTTGAGCGATGTGCAGAGGACAGGGTTTCATATGCTGAAATGCTAAGCAGTGGCTGTGTTTATTTCAGTACACGATGCTGATATAAGTCACACCTGGTGGAATCAGAGGCCACTGCCAGGACACGAGCAGAACAGCAGAAAGGTGAATTACAATGGCTTTTTTCCACCACCACACACTTTCCAGAAATATAGCACGTTTAAACTTGGCATGGATCAGGACTCTGTGTGTGTTTGCGCTGAAGTTACTTGGGAAGAGTAATCTGAACATTTGTTCAGCTTACTTGCATGACTTGAGAGAGGGCTGTTTTAGCTAAGGAACAATACAGCTAAATTCTGAGTTAAGCACCTCTACTGATGTCACAGTGGAGTTTACTAGAATAAGCTAATTTTAATCTATTATACTCTGTACGTACAGCACATATTACAATTAGTCTATGTCCAGAAAGCATATCCAAAGCATCTTACTTATGGATCACTTTTTGGAGTATACTGTTTTCCTGCAAAGCACTAAAGAGAATGAAGCCCCCAGTTAAGTGACTGAGAATGTGCTGACCTTTCATTAGACGTAACCAGGCTAGAGGGGTTCTTCAGGTACTGTCTGAACCGGAGCTCAAAAGCCTGCCCTATGGTGTTTATCACCTCCTGTGCCATCCCGTTGGGACATTCCAGTATGTGGCATGCTGCAAAGAGACATGTTACTTTAATTAAGTAAATACACTTTATACCAGAAAAGAGAGACATAAACTATTTTGCTTACAGCAGAAAAGCTGGGCATGAAATTACACAACTAGATAGCTTTAGGACATTATATAGACTGAGATTTTTGGTAAGGAAATTGCTCTAAGCATTCTTTTAGCATAGTATCAACTTATATTTCAATATAGGAAACTTCCCATTTATGCTTCCTGCATGGAGTATCTCCTTTTCTCTCCCTGCCTGACAGTAAGCAGAAGCTGGGGAGAGAAGCCGCCCTGCCAGCGTGCAGTTTTCATGTGAAACAGCAGGAAAACACAAGAGCTCCCTCAGGGCAAGACCAAACTCCTTCCACCAGCCCTTGTTCTCACACACCACCTTAAGAAACTCACTCCAGTAGCAAGTGCACTGTGCCCAAGACGGGGTCTCCCCTCTGCAGAGCCACCATGAGATAGAACCTGGGGATGGTACTGGGCCAGCTGCCAGCCCTGCCTGCAGGCTGCCAGGGAGCAGGAGTTCTGCATATCCCAGCATCAATACCAGGACTTACTGGAGAACTCACGGAGTGCCCTAAGTTTTTCAGAACAGCAGTGATGGAGGTACAGAGAGGGTGCAGACCAGACTGTAAGGCCCAGCTTCTCCAGAAAACATCCCGATCTTCTGAGCCATCCACAGCATCTCAGAGTGAGGGCTCCTGTGAATTGCCACTACCAACTTCATAGCCATTGGCAGTGTTGCTCTGAGAACTGTTTGGCATGAAAGCAGCCAAAGGCCAGTTTTTCTTGTCTGGTAGGCAAATAATGAGAGTGAAGGAAAGGGATTTTATATCGAGAAGCTCTAATACACCTGAGCATATACCCCACTCTGCCTTCCAGCAACATACCCAGAAGTCTGGGTTAGATGAGGAGGCTCATTTGCTACCCTTCACACATCTGGAAGTTGCCCCAGAGCAACTTGCCAAGCTCTGCCCTTCTTCTGCCCTTCCTTGCCAGGCGAAGCCAGTTTGGGACGGCTCCTACCCCTGCATGGAGACAGCAGCTAGTACAGCTTTAGTCTGACGTGCAGATTCTCACTTAGCTGCACAAAGAATATGGCATTTAAAGCCACAGCCTGCATACCATCACCCATATCCATACAGGAAAGTCAGAAATTGTACAGAACATTGAACTGTTTAGTAGCTGTCTTATTTTAAAATTCAAACAATTCTTTGGTACAGGTAAATCAATCATATAAACACGTATAACAATCTGAAATTGTCTCCATACCTCTCTGATTAACAGGATCTTTTGCTACATATGCAACGTAGTCTGTTGTATCCTTGAGGAAAGAAGACAACATATGTCTTTAAAATTATCATTATGAACAACCCTACAAACACAGCAAAGCAATTAAGTATAAAGACATATATTTTTAGCTTTAAAAAGCATGCTTCTTTCGGGGAAAACAACTGGAGGTACTACCAAAGTGAGCTAAGGGAAACATCAGTGACACACCAGTAGCTATGGACCCAGTAATTGACCTGGAATCTTCTTGAAATAAATGCATTAGACTATCTGGCATTCTTTGGGTCTTCAATAAGCTGTTTATTCAATTCCAAACTCTGCAAGAGGACCAGAAACACAACTGGTGCCTCATCAGCAGGCAATGCTGCTTTCTAATCCGCTGCTCCCACAGTGCTCCAAGCCTCTCCTGTGTAATGCATTAGGGCTGCATGACTGCCAGTCGCAGCCTTTAGTCCTTATCAGTATCAGTGGAAGATAAAATAGTGCTAAAATACTGCAAAGGACAAGTTAGAATATTCCTGATTCATGGAATGAAGATTGAGTTTTTAAGGCATCTTAGAGAAAAGTTGATCTTTAGAATATTGCAGAATACAATAGGTTCCTGATCTCAATTGCTGCTGACTGATTTTAGACCAGCTATAATCAGGTTAAATTACTCTGGATCTCAAGGCTGCTGCTGAGATCAGACAACCTCTGTATAATCAGTTGTCTATTTCACATTCTCTTTCCAGCCAACACTGAAATAATCCTCATTTTTTTCCTAGTCAAACTGAAAAGGGAACTGGAATAGAAAAACTACCATTTCTAGTCATACTGCAATAGCAAGGAGTTGCTTGATAATTCAGTGTAATAGTAAAAATGGTGAGGTAATGAATAACATTCTTTTAATTATTAAAGATGCATTTTGTTATTTTGGATCTTTAAGGCGGGATGAGGAAAATGCAATTCACAGCTTAAAGGCATGGCTCTCTTGAGGGAAGATGCAGTCAGCTGGCAGGAAACAAGGCCCCCATTTGCAATATGCACAAGAACAATCATTTAATAATTCACAATGAATGACAGGAGAGGCAGGTCTTAGGGCCAGCAGAACTTGTCCTAGATAATTTTTTTTAAAACCTCCAGAGTTAATATCATTAAAACTAAATATTTCTTATGTGTTTAGTGAACTCAGTTTCCTTTCTTTTCCTTTCAGGTTTTTCTTAAAATTTATAAATATTATAGGATACACTTGCAAAATACATTAGATCTAGAAAGTGACTAGAAACTAAAGTAACTGGAGCAGTGTCTGCTATTTTTATACCTTTGTAGTGTTTATGTACATGCATGGATGACTAGGCTTTAAAATAAAGCCAGAATAGGCTTTATTCTTGGGAAGAATAATGTTACTTCTTAATAATGCAGAGCAACACTGAACTGCGCTTAGACCCTGAATGGAGGGGCAGGTGGAAAGATGTGTCCTGTGGAAACTATCCCCCATTTTACATGTAAAGAGAATATTAGGAATATTACCTGAACAAGCCACCAAAATTGCCCCTGACATGAAGTGCCACCAGATCTATAGTTACCACTGCTGAGCCAGACCTCCATTTTATTATATATTCCTCCCAGTAAGAAAAGTGTCACCAGCCACACCAGCAAGCGCATTTCCTGCAGCACATCTAAGTGCAAGCACATCTCCTGGTTGTCCTGCCATTAAGCACTGACCAAACCCAGCCCTGTATAGCCCATGAGATCTGATAGAATCACTAAATAGAACCAGTGCAGGATAACAATGTAAAAACTACTAAAAAAGCTAAACAAGCCCTGGAGAATTAGTCATCCAACCTGCTGAGCAAAGGTCTGAAAACACACCCCTGAATTTTCCAAGCTGGAAATGTTATATAAAGACAACCTAGACAGGCAGAATCTAGGACACAGTACGTACTTCAAAAATAAGTCATCTTAAGGACATATTTAAATTGTTTAATTATCAAGAGAACTGGAATTTGGAAGCGAAGCACACTGATGCTCAGCACAACAGTGTGCCAGCACTTGGAGCTACCTGGAAATTCACATCATGAAGGGTCTGCAAAGCCCAAGGACTGTATTGTAGTGTGGTGTATGAGGATAGCACAGGCATCTAAAGGCGAAATTCAAACTTCTTAGACTTCCAAATGCCTCAGGCTTTAAAAGCAATCTTTAAGGATGTAGCACTTCAGCACCAAGCCTGGGCTGTGCCTCCTTTCTGGGTGGAGGACTGACAGCACAGAGCCTGTGCAGGTGCTCCCTCCCCACTTCCCAGCCCAGCTCCAGAGAGCTCCAGTTCTCAGGCAGCTTGAGCAGCATCTCTCTGAGCAGAGCAGAGCAGAGCAGCTGGGCTCCTTACATCACCCACATGGCCCTCTAGAGATCCATCAGCCACACAGGGCAAGTTCCAAGCTATTTTCCCTTGCCTGCTCCTAAATTCAAAGGGGCAAATCTGTCATTTTCCAATCAAAGCTGGACCTGGTTTCTACCCCAGTGTTACCAAGAGCATGATCCAGAGCCTTCTATTTTCCCTGTTTCATAACACAAGAACAGGGAGACAGTTAGCAAAATTGAAGGGCAGAAAATTCAAGACTGATTAAAGAAATACTGATTAAAGAAATACCATTCTCATACCACATGGAGTGTGAAATTCAGAATGCTGGCAGGTGAGCTTGCTTAGATTTGAAGAGGGAATAGGGCATGTGTATGGATGACAAATTCCCTGCTTACAATCATTGCAATAAAGAGTTTGGAAGAGAATAGAAAACCTCTTGCTTGAAAACATTAATGACTTCATGAGTAGGAGAAAAACACATCTGCAGGAAGAAGGAGGTGAAGTCACATCTGTCTCATAGGAGCTGTTTGACTCAAAATTCATCTAAAAATTGAGAGGTGCCAGTGATGACTGCTTTTGTGACAGGTATTGGATTACAGTGACCACCAAACTGATGCAATTCCCATGTTCATGTGTTCTTATTTTTAGATCCCCAAGTCTGAGGGCTTTTGAATGAACAGTGGCTCACAGATTGGTAACAGGAAACTGAACTATGAATCTATCAAAGATCCACTAAGTCTCTATTCCATGTCTCCTTTCCAGTCTCACTTCCTCAGTTTTCTTGTATTACTGGTCATGATCCAGAGGAGTGGTGTACTCTGTTAGTGCTTGTGGATAGGAAGTGATGAAGCAAAGTATTTGCAGGTACTTTTAGTCTCATAATAATTTCATTATACCTGCGGAAGTATATCTCATAAATCAATACTTACTGGGTCACCTCCAGAAGCAAATGAGATGGACTGCATGTGATGGTTGGCAATAATCTGAAAAGCATGACAAACTAGTTAAACATGCTCATGTGCCACACACTTAGCAAACAGCAGAGCATATATCTTCATTGAGCAAGCAATTACGTTCATGACAACCCAATCCATTAATACATGCACATATCATTTGTGAAGGAAGGAGATAAAAATAGGAATGTTTTTGAGACTACCCATTCATGCTTAGTAATGTCTAGATCCCTGAGTAATCTTCCTTAAAGGGTTTTTAGAATGAATTCAACCAACTTCTAACCTGGTCTGTATGAAGCTCAAGGAGACCTTGAAAGGGAAATAACTGGAGACACTGGATGCACTTACAAAGTCTTCAGATACTAATTCATTTAAAAATTACCAACAATTTTATTTAAATGCTTTGTGTATACAATGGTGGTGTTTTTACAAACAGACCACACTGATACTCTGATCATATCCTCTCTCACCATTAGCACCAAACTGTCATCTGCTAGAAATTTCACTAGCCAAATCAAGCATCAATTTTTTCTTGTTTTCAAACACTACTTCATCTCTGGAGACAAACTGTTCTTTATTATAAAATCAAGTGCAAAAGATTATGCAGGTGTAAACACAATGAAACATGGTGCCAGCACAGCAATAGATTAAATAGAATTTTCCATTTGCAAAGGTCTAGTAATGAAAGATTTAGTAAGAATTCCAAGACAGTGCCTTGCATGCCCATGTGTGTGGTCACGGGACACATCAGCATGTTTGGAAGGAGATCTGTCCAGCCAGCTTTTAGTCCTGTTACAAGCAGGAACTGGTTAAAAGGTTCATCCTTTAGCTGCCAACCCCAGTTTAAAATGCTGTGGGGAAGCCCTTTGCTGCTGTACCTGAAAGGAAGGGAAACCTGGTGCCATAAACTTACCCCTCCTAGTACAGGGGTCCAAGAGAGACCTCTGTGCTGCAGGCAAACCCCCAAGAACAGCTTAACTTTCAGCACAGTATCAGCTCAGTGCAGTGATTCCTCAGAGCCAGTGAGCCACAACTACCTCCCTGATGGTCCTCTGCTCCAACTTGGAGTGAAACCCTGCTGGCCCCAGGCAAGACTGTGCTAGAAGCTGAAGCCAACAGCTGACAGAGGAATTAGGTGGGCAGGAGCTCCTCAGCTCATCTGCCAAGAAGGGGGCACACCCCAGTTCCAGGGCAGATCCAGGCTCTTGGGAACACATCTCTATGGAGCCCAGAGACTTTGCACACTATAAATGCTTATGCACATATATTACCCAGCTGTAAAATAGCTTTGAACGACACCAAAGCCAAGCTCTGACTCATTATTTATATCAAAATGTTTTCTCTAGGACTTTTACAGAAGCTTGTCAGGACTAGTGCTTTTTTTATTAGGTACCGTAGAGACACACTCACTGAGAAACAGTTTGCCAAGCGCTTAAGGATCCCTCCCTATGGAAGACACCACCATAAACAAAAAGGGCATGTGCTGCATGTCCAATTCCTCATTTCTAAATTCAGAGGCATCATGTAATTCGGCTTTACTAGCACAAGACAACTAAAGGATGATGCTTTCCCTTCAAAGTACTCAGCCTTTTCTTCAGATGCTATGAAAGGAGAACACGGGAGCATGGAGAAAAGTACACAGATTTATATGTATCCTACCTGCTGCGTGTCAACATTAATCAAGGTGAGGCTGCTTGTTGAAATGGTCAGCTTTATATTCACACCAGAAAACTGAAGGTTACTTTTGCCAAGTACAGAAGACAGAAACTTCACTGGAGGCTATGAACAAAGAAGCAAAAGAAAGAGGCCATCAGATGAGTCTTTCAGGGGCAGAAACATATCAAAGTCAAGCAGTTTTTATGATACTGAGAAATTGAGTGGAGCAAAGATAACAGCTTGATCAGATGCAAATAGATTATCTAACAAATATCAGCTTTGAATACAATACTTGTAGGCATGGGTTTATGTCAATAATGGGGAAAAAAAGGTTTTAAACAAAAACCAAGTGAGCCAAATGTTATAGCTGGCTCTGTAATTCAGAACG